TTCCAGCTTCTAACCAAATTGGCTTTTTCTAATTCACTTGTCAACTTCATTTCTATGTTAAGCCCCTGCATTATATATACATCATCATAAATAATCAAGAAGTTATGCAATCATCTTAGTACATTCCCAACTCAATGAATAAACATAAATGTCATGCTCCCTTTTTTAATAGTTGAACTCTTCTGATAATTAACTAAATGTACACCAATACAAATGAGTAGCACTGGGCGAAAACCTCTAAACTAACCCAAATGTATACATATAATAATAATAATAATAATAATATAAAGGTATAACCATTGCACTTTTAATTTTTTGACTAAATTATTTACGGAAATTGTGAAAAAATGAACCAACTACCTTTTATGCAAGTTCTATGCAAAAAAATCAATATATTTTTAAGGGGTGTTTGGATCTAATTCTTAAAAGCGATTCTGCACCTTTAGGGAGCAGAAGCAGAAGTTGGAATGTTTGGGTGAAAGTGAAGAAGTGATTTTGGTGCTCTAATTTACTCCTAGAATCAGTTTTTTAGAAGCTGGGAGAGACCAGCTTCTGAAAACTGATTCTGATTCTGCTTTTGCTTTAAAAAAAAGAAGCAGAAACAGAATCAGTTCCAAACACCCCTTATTACTCCATCACAACCATACCTGAAAATATCCTCAATCGACGATACTTCTTTGGTTGGACGTATAGGGTTGGCAACATTGAAAATATTGGAGGTGCTTATATTCAAGAAGCGCCACACACTTCTATTTTTTTTTTAAAAAAAAAAGTGGACCGTGTTATTGTATTAGAGGCGCATGTCTCCCAAATCGCCGCACACACACCACAACTTTAAAAAACAAAAAACGGTAGATACTTTAGAAATAGGTTGATATAAAACCAAAAGATATAAGACTCGTTTAGTCTTATTAAAAGAATATGTTGATTAAAATTTCCTTAAATAAGAGTGCACAAGTCTTATTTTTAAAATAAAACAATGATAGTCTGATATTTGAACTTAATCATTGTTTTAGTCCTATTTAAGGAATTTTCTCCAAATACTTTGGACGTGCTTGTCACCTAAAAGCGCCGCATGAACACCATTTTTTAAAATAAAAAAATTAAATCCGGAAATATGTTTGGAGACGCTTTTCCATAAAATTAAAAATTGTACAGCTATTAGAGGCGCTTCTACAGAAAAACGTCTCAAATGAAGCGTCTCTCTTTGGCATTTTTCGACTATTATGTCTGTATGTTCAATTCCTATCGATGTGCATTCTTTCTCCTTTTTGTTTGCAACTATCCATCAATTGTGGCAAACTAGGACGTTGACGCTCATCACCGTTGCCCCTCCTCTTGCTTTGGATACTGTGGACATATCTATGGTGTTTTGTGTGCACAATTGGTTTATGAGGTCCCTATTTAGGTCAAAAAATTTATGGAGCCCTATATGACTTCACTATGAAGTCATATTGCCCATGTGACCTCATAACAACCATTCATCTCTATAGTGGAATTATAGTGAAGGATCATACTTTATAAATGAATGATTGTGATGATGCTAGGTGTGATATATAATCTCATAGTGAAGTCATATAGAGCTCCATAAAATCTCTCCTATTTACGTGGCTGGCGGTTCATTCTTCCTTGACTTCTTTAGCATCCTATGGTTTCCTATGGACTCCCTTCTTCTCATGCTTATGGGGAGTTCACTCACCAAATTGAGCTATATAGTTCAATGATTTTTTTAAAAAGTGAAATAATAGGAAGGAGTTTCTAGTTGATAAGACTAGGATGAAAGCACACAATTTTTGTTCCATTAGCCATGAATAGCCCCAATGCTGTAATATAACTGGGATGACTACACATAAACCAATTCAATAGAAATGGGAATATAGATAAAAATGAACATAATAAAAAGGAAATGAGAATTTAATACGGAGTAATTGAATTAAAAAAGTAGATTAGATGATTAGTATTCTCAGAAAAATGAAGGTGTTCTAACTTCTAAGGTCATGTTCGAGTAACGTTATATATACTACGTAGGTGTGCTTCCTACTCCGCATTACGTAGTATTTTTTAGACTTCCTATTAATCAATTGAATTGTGCTTATATATATGTGAGCAACTGACCTTATACTTAAGGTACATCTAATAATGATGAGATACGGGACAACCTTTGGGTGGATTCAAGGAGGCTGGTTAGTCCTAAAAAGCGTATTAAAAAAACCATCCTCACTTATTAATGGCAAAGTTGTGTCCTAATCATAGATATCAAACATACTATGACAAATAATGCTCTCTAGCTAGTTATGAAAAGAAAATCAGGGGGTACTTGGAACCTGCATCTACCTTAGCTTCTAAAAATTGCTTCGATGAGTAATTTGCAGTACCGAAAAGTAATTCATCACTTTCACCTAAACATTCTAATATTTGTTTTTGCTCTTTGAAGGAACAGTTTTAAATAGTAGATCCAAACACCCTTAAAATGGTTTAACTTCTTGTATTAAGGCTGGCTGACACATATAGAGCAAGTGTTTCATATATAGGCAGGCAAAATAAAGGATTAATAGGGCACGTCTACTTTCATGCCATATATCTGAGCGCCTAAGCCCGATTGGAAACACCCATTCCGTGAATGGATTATATTGCATCTGTTAAAATATTCAAAAATTATACTCCATATTTAAAATATGTAGTATATTTTGTTAATAATTTATCGAAAAAATTATATGAACAAATAGCTAAAATATTTATAGTAATTTTAGCTAATTCAGTTAGGAAAGTAACTTGACATTATTCGTTTTGATTTAATGTCATTCCGCATACGAAATCAAAAGTTACGTTTTTGGTAAAACGATGATCGAGTTATAAGTTTATAATCTAGAAATATGAGTTAACAAACGGCCTATACATACGGAGTGCAATTTAGATCAAATAGAATTCGATTTAATGAAAGAAATGTGAATGAATCGGAAGCGTGATTGAGAATTGTACATTATGTGAAACATAAATGTACACAATTGGAAAATAGACGGTATTTTTTTAAATAAATTCAATTTTCCTATTTATTTGAATTGTACATTACCTTAACAATACACGTGCACGGCCATGAACTAAATACGGAGTATGAGATTGAGAGTATAGATTCTGGTAATTCTGTAGATTGAGATTCATACCAAATAGGGGGAGTACAGGTTCTCAGTTTCTTTTTTCACTCATTTATCTCTTATACGGTCCAACCCCCATTTTGTCTTTTACGCCATTCTACTTTAATGATTTGGTCTCTCACGCCCTCCATCTAAAATCATTCGCGGCGGAGAAGTAATTAAGTCTTGTGCATCGGTTTGGATAATATTTGAATAACCTGGGTGTGGGAACATATATATCCTTATTCTTTTTTTCGAAATAAATATATCCCTGAACTTTTAAAAAAGTGTAAAAATATCCATCATGTTCTTATAAAGGGGCAACTTAATCTTTATTGACTTTAAATTAATAAAATAAATTTCAAAAAACACCAAATATAAATTATAAATTCAAAATTAAAAAACTAAAAATTTAAAAATGTAATGGTGTCCGATTCTCCCTTTTATAGTTTATATATCACAATTTAATATTGTTTAAGTATGAAATATTATTTCAAAATTTTACTATATGTTTAAGATTCTTTCGAAAAGGTGCTAACATATGTTTCACAATGTAAAGAAAAATATTTTTTTTGCATTCTTTGCACTATAAAATTACATATTTTGAAATAATATTTTATACTAAAAATATTAAATTGTGATATAAAAAAGGGAGAATTGGACACAATTACATTTTTAAAATTTTTTATTTTTTAATTTCGAGTTTTTAATTTATTTTTGGTCTTTTTTGAAATTTATTTTATTAATGTGAAGTCAATAAGGATTAATTTGTTCCTTTATAAAAACATGGGGGATATTTTTGCATCTTTTTAAAAGTTCAGGGGTATATTTGTTCTAAAAAAATAGTACAGGGGTACATTTGTTCCTCCACCTATACTACAAGGATATATATGTATCTTATCCCTTGAATAACTGAAAAGATAGCTTTTTTAGTAATGGTTAGTTTTTATGGGATAAAGCTCAAATTGGACACTCTGGTTTCATCAGAATCTCATATTTGACACTAAGTTTTTAAATGGACCAAATTAGACATTATGGTTTCATATGTATCTCATATTGGACACTAAAGTTTCATAATTCAATATAAGTGAGTGTCCAAAACCTATGAATTATGAAACTTTAGTGTCCAATATGAGATACATATGAAACCATAGTTTCTAATATGATCCATTTGAAAACTTAGTGTCAAATATGAGATTCTGATGAAACCATAATGTCCAATTTGAGCCTTATCCCAATTTTTATTGACTGAAAATGTCTTAAAAGAAAAAGGTAGTAGCTGATTGATTAAAAAATGATTGTTTGATTTAGCTTTGTTTAGTATACAAACTGTTGAGACTAATTAATACTAGCTCAAAAAAGATCTTTTGTGTTTATAAAAGCTCTTAAATATTGGCATGTCAAACATACAACTAGAAGCTTTTAAAGACTTTTAAATAATACAAAGTACAAAAGATATTCTAACATTTTGTTTAAGATTAAGCTTCTTCCCCATATTCTTTCGGACGTCCCAACTAAAACTTTTCATTTCTACCCTAAAAAATAATAATGAGCAATACTTTTCTCTTTTTATTTGATTTTTCTTGGTCAATGATGAAAAAAATTGGGCAATGACTTTTATTTGCATATAACTTACAAATTTTATATTTTTATGAGAATATTTTTATTTAAGAACATGTTGATATAATTTTTCATATTCAACATACTTTCTTATTAAAAAAAATATCACTGATCAAAGTTCAAAATTATTGATCAAAAAAGTCAATTTGGCGAATCTTTTTAGATCATAGCAGAGAGAGTATCATATGGGTATTTAATAAAAGTAGAATAATATGTTGCAAAAAATTAAAAGTAGAATAATACAGAGTATAATTCATGAGCAACGCATATAGAACTTGGCTTTGATAACAAAATGGATGGAGTTGAATTCCAATGGTGCCGGCACGACAAGAATTACATCAACTATCAGCCGCCAAATGTAAGCATACATTATTGGCATTTATTAAAAGTCACAAACATTCACATTCCACGTTGAGATATTAGTGGGACTAATGACTAAAACAATGCCTAATTTAAGTCAAAATTTGATGCTAACTCCTAATTATTACAGTATTTTCCTTATGTTGGAAAAGTTGACATGTAGAAGTAACATCAATTTTCCTAAGGATTGGAAAAGTTGCCAAAACCATTTTCTGGTTCCAAATTTCCAATGAAGAACCATAATGACATATATACCAATAATAAATTATACCACATGTTTGGGAAACATACACTAGCTGCAACAGTACATATGGTCTAAAGATCAATGAATTGAAATACCTTGAAGGGAAAGAGAGAGGGAAGCTGCTAAGGTTAGTGGTGAAATGAGAGGTTAAGGTGGTCTGAAAGAGGGAGAGGAGTAGTGATAGCCATTCTTGTGAGGAGGCCATGTTGGAGGGGGTCTTAGGATCTGCAGAGGAGGGAATCCTGATGATGCTGCAGCAGCAGTTGCAAATATCTGATGATGAGGATGAAGATTCGACGACTGATGCCATTGTTGTTGATGGTGATGAGGAATGCTGTTATTCTGGTTGCTGCTTGTTGTGTTGTTGTTGGTGGTGGAGGAAAGTGTTAACTGATCTCCGGCAGCCGCCGCCCCGTTCCAGCCACCCATTCTTCCTCCCATATTGCTGCTGCTGCTCATGTAGTGTACCTGTTTTTAAATAATTATTACAGTACTACAAATTCATTATTCATACTCCATATATGGTTTGCACTTAATAGAAAAATTTGTAGATGTAGTTAACTTTACTTGATAAGAAGATAATATAACTAGTAGATTTTTGTGCAACTCTGCATATGCTATGATGATATAGTACATTATGTGCAAGTTCACTCATTTGCAACAAAATTATTAGTTACAAATTGACCTAGGATGTTTTTACTTGGACTGTAATTTGTCCCAGACCAGACTTGGATAGTTATAAAAATACAAAGAAACCAGACCTTACCAGACCAGACCAGACCAGCAAATTACAGTCTAAGTAAAAACATCCCTATTCTACAAATGATTAAAGTTACGAGAAAAATAACATACATAGACAAGAAGTTATGGAACTAAATCAATAAATATGTCCACAACTATTATCAAAAGATTTTCCTACAATATTACTTCGTACTTATAAAAAAGCTATAGACAAAAAACTTAGTAATTTTTAGTAACTATAATTGTGTTCAAAATTACTTCATAGTCACTACATCATAGTAACTTTGAATATAATTCAAGTAACTAAAAACTTACCAAGTTACGGAGTATATTTTTGTCAACAACTTTTCCGGGAGTAATACTAGTGGAATTTTTTCCTATTATAATCAAAATGCGAATATATTTATATATGAAAATAATTTGGGTTGCATGCTTGTAAGTTGGGTCATACTTGGAAAGGTGATGTGTTGAAGTGATGAGGAGTGAACATCTGCTGCTGCATGTGAGCTCGTGTTAGGAGCTGCATGTCGGTGTACCCTTCTCTTCCTCGCCCGTTTTGGTCCGCTGCTAGGATCTCCTGTTGCTTTTAATCCAAACAATTAACACCATTTTAAGTTTAGTTTTTGAACTACAAATGGTAATTATAAATTAAAATGAATATTTCTTCTTGTGCCATAGTACGTAGTACAACCGATACTAAAACGTTCAATATATCGGAATTAACACTGTCCCTTTTAAGCTCCCTTTCAAAGCACTAACGAGCTTATAATAAAGTGGAATGATCAGCCATTAAGATCAAATAAACCAGTCAATTAATTAGTCCTGTGGTTCATCATTTGTGCATTATTTTAGTCATCCAGTTTAGCCTAGTTTTAGCAAATTAAACAATGTTTTTCTTTCGCATTTGGCTCGCTAAATTGTGTATTGATACAAAAAAGTAAGGCTGAAGGGAACAACTCTAGATGTTTCATTTAATATTTTCGGTTAATTGTATTTTTAGCTTAATCATTTCATTTTGAGTAACTCAAAATATTAAGCAAATTTAGTCATTTTGAGTCACAACTGCAGCACGTTTTACATAATTAGTCAATTTTGGTATTTCAAATTTGATTATTTTCAAACGAGCTTTAGATTGCAAGTCAGAATGACCCCAACTTGGCCGGTCCCATCAAACGAATTGAATGTGCTCTTTTTTCTGATTTTATTTTATTATTATCAAATACCGAGTAACATACTATAGGTCTATAGATGTACAAATTAGAGAGTACAAATGATGTCTATGAAATCTAAAAAATTCAGATCTGTTAGGTGTCCAAATTTGAAAACAATAATGAAATATGGGACAAAATATAAGAATGCCCTTAGTTATATGGCATCATTTTGAGTAATGCTTGAAAGATATGGAACTAAGAGGCCGTTTGGGCAACACTTTTTTCGTCTTGTCAGGTTTACCAGCCAACTTTTTCACCAAACATGTGTAATTTTTGCTTTCGCGCGTTGAATTGTGTAATAAGCAGAAAAAGTAAGGTGGAGTTACTTTTATGGTTGTATTGGCTGAAATTAATGTAAATGACTATTTTAGCTATTTTTACATATAATTTTTTCTTTACTTTATTAATAAAATATATTTTAAAAATAGTTTTTCTTAAATCAGCAGAATCAGCCAATGCAGCCACTTCAGCCAGAACTTCATAAATTTCAGCCAAATCAACCAATTTTTGTGTTACCAAACAGGCTCTAAATATGCATTTTTTCTTATGTGAGAAATGATAATTGTAATGAGACTAGATCGGATAATTTGTACCAAATTATTCAGTATATCAGCTCATGATAAAAAAGTTTAGACACTAATCCGATCTAGAGGTGAAAGAGTTGAGTTTATAGGTTAAGTTTAAGAAAAAATACTATTTAATGAGATACTAATTAATTATTAATTACCCCTTGATGCCTCCAATCCATTTCATATTGCATTGATGATGATGAATTCTGGCCCATATTTTCAGCCATTTCTCGGCTCCCATGTTTAGAGCTGGAGCTCCCAAGGCTCAAATCCAGATTGTGTTCAGCTGTGTTTTCGCAATTATCTACAAAATTTAAGAACTAAATTTTTAATAATCTGAATATCCTGACACATTAGACTGACAAATTAAAGATGGAAACAAATTTGAAGCAATCAATTTTTTTTACCAGAGGGGGAATTAAGCTCAGTCTCGTAAATACTTGGATCAAAATTGGTAACTGCATCCTTGCCGTTGCATTTTATGGCCGCTTTATCATAAGCCCTAATTATTTTTTAAAGGAAAAAAACAAGGCACAAAATATTGGCATTTGAGAAAAACTTATGCCAAATACTAGTATTATAGTCAACCTTATGCTAAACATTATTGTCTCGGATAAATATGATACAAAACGACACGTGTCACTCAATTATGAACCAAGTTTTTAAACATTGTTCTGTGCAAAAAGTTATCATAAGAATAATTACTCTTCCAAAATATAGTGGGTTTAGTAGTAGTACTACGGCACAAAAATAAAAGTTGTAGTGTTTGAGAAAATAAGTGCTTTTTTAAAGCCAAAAGCTGAGAAGTGCTTTTTTAAAAGCAGTTGCAAACCAACCCTTAAACGCATCCCAAAAAGTTGTGGAAAAAATCTAGTGCGAGTATCTAATACGGAGTAAAATAAAAAGATGTACTTAACTACTTACATCCCTCCTTCATTAATTGCAACAATTTGATTTTTTTAGTTTTTTACTATCTACTCCACATATTATTTATATTGACTACATTTTATTTGTCCGTGTATTAAAAATCATATTATGAAAAATCTTTTTTAAAACTTGTCTCATTATAAATTTATAAATATAATTTTTAATAACTACTGTTGAGAGGTAATTAAATGTTTTGATGGTGGGGCAACACAAAGTTAAATTTGTACAAGTAAAATTCAATCAACTTGCCCATATTTGGTATCAAAAAAATCATATTATAAAAAATATTGTAAAGTTATGTCATTATTATTGTAAAATTGTAGGAATCTCACACCGAAAAAGTTTGAATCAACAAAGTGTTATATTAAGCCATGCTAAACATGAGTTACTCTTCCTATTAGATTGACCTTTTAGGATGGAACCACGAGTCTTAACATGGTATCAGAGCCAAATCGATCCATGATGTGGGCCCCTTATGAAAAATGATTGACACGATTATAAAAAAATGACAATGACTAAACGTATAATATTTTTCTTAAACTACGCGAAAAAGGCTTTTGTTCACTTATAATCCGGAGGGAGTAGCTTTTATAAAAACTCAAAGTCTTGTATTAAAAACATTAAAGTCAAATTATTACAAGTAAATAAAAGATGGAGAGTAGGTCAGCACTAACCTGGCAGCTTCAATTTCGGTATCAAAGAGACCCAAATAAACATACCTGTTTTAGTAAGAAATAAAAGTTGAAAAAAGAAGGGATCAAGATGGGATAAACAATAGGCAAAAAAGTTTTATATTCCTCATAAAGCAAGGAGAATAAAAAAGAACTAGATAAGAAGAATAAACCATTTCTTTTTACGTTTTAAATATAATTAAAGTTTTAGGGGTTTCTCACTTTTTCCCTAAGAATTGGCCCATTCTAGCTTCCCATCTACCACATTTATGCAATGTCACGCCCCTATACTTTGAACTCCCCCTGGGAAAACCAGTGCTTTGTCGCCGAAGTACATGAACAAATTCTTCCTTCGTTAAATTGTTCATCTGCACCTCCATTAGTTAATAAATCATTATTTCTATTTTCAATATTATTATAATTATTGTTATATAATTATAATTCGAAGTAATAAACAAATGCCTGTTTTAAGGATGGAAAATGTACGTGGATAAGCTAAGGAAAAAAAACAAAAACATTGTACTATCAAATGGCCTACCTGTTTTAAGTCGTCTTCATAATCCTCCAGACTAAAATTTATGTCGGCTTCCACTCCCCGGAATTTGATTGCTGCCCTATCATATGCACTGACAACACATTTCTAGATTTTTGTCTCAAAAGCTCTTTTATTATTTTTTGTCAAAATTAATAAATACTTAGGATAATAAGATTACAATTAAGGATTTTAATTTTAAATAATTACCGTGCAGCTGCATGTGCCGTATCAAATCCACCTGCACATATCAATATATGATCTCTTTTACCATTTCAGATTTGAGGTAAAAACTGAAGTAATAATAACTCTTGAGAAATGGAAAGAGTAGAAGCAGAGAGGTTCAGATAATATTATTATACCTAGATAGACTTGTTTCCCACAATCCCTGGATTGATAAATTGAACAAAAAAAATGATGAGTGGAAAAGAAAGAAAAAAGGAAAAAGAAGAAGAAAGGTTTTGATCTGGAGCTAACCATATGTGAGACTCCCACCGGCCGGTTCGCCGGTAAAACGTGACGCCGCGGTATTGAGAGCTTCTTGACCGAGGCCCACGGCGGCTTTTCTTCAAAGGCTGCTGAGACCCCTCTAAAGCCTTCTCCGGCGCGCCGCCGGCGACGTGGGGTTCAGACTGGCAAAATTTTACCCCCACCCAGTGAGCCCTCGGTAAATGGACCGACCCGTCTCCGCCGGAGCCGGCAACCATTTCCGTCTCGTCAACGGGAAAGAACTGCCGCGTGACCGGCGAGAAGCTGTCGGCGTGCGCCTCCCCCGCCATCGGAAAGCCGAAGATTTTCCCGGGAACCGTATTTCTCTTCTTCTGGGTCTTACCGCCGTCATCAAACTCGTCCTCGTCTTCCGACGCGTCCTCGACGACAACCGCCGACGAGCTCGAATTGGAAACGGATCCGACCCGTTTACCCTTGTCGTCGTCGCCGTCAGCAGGGGAAGAGCAGCCCTCTTCCGATTCACCGTTTCCCCTCTGATCCGGCGAATCGTTCAGATCCCACATTTCCATAATTAGTCCAAGCTGAAACAAAACAACAGAATCTAATAAAGGGGAGAGTTCTGGGGATTTTGGTAAGCTTTCTTTAGCAGAGGCCAGAGGCTATATAGCTTGGGACAAAGCTTTAGAGTAGTTTCATATGTATATTGTGTATATGCGGCCGTACATGTGTGTGTAAATATGTATATATTCTCTGACGCTGTGTTTTGCCTAATTAAATACAGCGTAGATAAGCAAAGATTGGAAAAAGGGTAATAAAATAATGGGGAAATTGGAGGTTTTGCAGAGGATTCGAAGAACATGAAACCTACGACTTATAGAGAAGCTCAAGTTTGTTGTGAAAAGTTAGTTGAGAGAGGGTATGGAGCGAAGAGTTATGATTGATAGGATGTGTTCCACTATGAAGCATCCGGCAAGGAGAAATAGTAGTAATAGTACTAAGTTAAAGTATTACACTACATTTATCTATCCCACTCTTACTTTCCCAATATTAATGCTGGATATAGGCCAAGCCTATCCCTCATTTGAACTTTTTAGCCCGATTCACTATTCAACCTTACCATTTGCATTTATGTGATATATTTATCGCCGTACAATAACCTATACATCAGTTGTCATCACTCATCACCAGCGAGTGTATTTAATCTCCACTCGTAGCTCAGTTGGTTGAAAAGTGAGAAAGTTTAAAGAATAATCAAAGATCAAAACCTGCAACAACTATATAGAGGTTACGGTTCTTGTGTATGAGACTGAATAGTCTCTGTTATGCACTGGTATAATTAAGGTCTACAATCAGTAGAATGACTAGGTTATCATGATTTACAATCTCTCATATGTCTTGTCGAATCGGGGCATTGGGGGCGCTTGGTTTCAGAATTCAACTTTTGGAGGAACCAGTAAGTGTATTCAACTCGATCTATATGCCTTACTGCCTTAGATGGTGGGATGAAAATGTTTCAACCAAAACTGTACAGTGTGCACCGGCCACCACAGACATTATACCCAGGGGTGGATCGGGACCAGGTCAAGCTGGACTTCGGGCCGGGCCTGGACGAGCTCGGGCTTAAAAAATTCTGGACGAGTACCAGCTCGAGTTTTTAATGGGACCGGGTTGGGCCGAATTTCTGGATGGGATTGAGCAATAAATTAAAAAAATAGTGGAATCGGGCCCAAAAAACGAGCCTGAAACCCGCCCTTATAGCCACTGGGTCGGAACCGGGCCTGAAACGTAGCGGGTCGGGTAGGGCCTGCACAGTGCCGATCCGGGCCCGAGTCGGACCGACCTGTATCGGTCCATCCCTAATTTTACCTGTTAAATATGGCCAGTCCTTATGAAGGAGGTTACATTTTATAATATATTGTCATCATCTCTTGCGAATGATCATAGCCGGATCCAAGTTTTTTCTTATTGCGAGTGAAATAATTTTGAAATTGGAATTATATAATCTGAATTACATTAACTCAAACACAGAAAAAATACAAGTTACAAATGGGGAATCTATTTGAGCGTGTTTATATATGGTAACAATAAGAGAAGAATGTAAAAAAGAAGAAAAGAACCAATCAACCACAAGTGAGTAATAAATTGATTCATATGCACAAATCGATGGAAGTGTCTAATGTAGAACATGGTTAGTATGTAATCCATTTTCGTAAGGTTGACATAATGTGTAAGTAGTGCAAAAATGGAAACTCCCCTTCCCCATTTATTTCCCTGTTTCTGAAAGCATTCATTCACATAGATAGTTTCTGACTCTTTTCCATGTACACATGTTTGGGTTTGGTGCACTTCATTTAACCGCTCTGCTTAGTTTAATGAGTAGTCGTACTTGTACTAGCCCTCAACAATTAATTATAATATAGACCAAAGATGGAAGAGGTTTAAACGTGTTATTCTAAGATGGCGTGAGTAACTTTTGTCAAACTAGATTCACGGGTCGCCAGATCTAACCATTTTGTACTTAGTAACTCTTTCCCTTTTCAATAATAAGGGAAAATGAAATATTACTTGCCTCTTTTTTCTCATTGGTGGTCTGATTTAGAAAATTGGAAACAGAGAGTGGAAGGGAAGGAACAACCATCTCTAGCTTTCTTAAGCAACTTTTTTACGTTAGCCAAATCGAAAAGCATTTTCCATGCCGTCTGTCTATTCCGTTCTACATTCCAATCCCTTTCTTCACCCGGACATAGCTAGACTTCGGAGAACATATATTGCAAATTTGTGCTCGTAAATTCGTAATAATTAAATTATAATAATATGCATAATTGCACATTAATCTTTTTGCGGTGAGGAAAACATAATTAAAAACTTATTTCATTACGAAAGTGAACATTAATTTTTCAATTCAAAATTAACTTTGAGTATCCAATAAAGGGTGGCAATGAAGGAATGATTTATGTTCATTTTCTTAGTAGATGGCCCAAGAAAGTTCCCCTTTCCTCTTATTTGAGCATATAAATACACAAACATTGAGAGGCCGTTTGGTAAAATTGAAATTGACTGAATCCGCTGATTCAGCTGATATTTATGAAGTGCTGGTTGAAGTGGCTAGATTGGCTGATTCGATTTTTTAAAAAATTATACTCCGTATTTAAATTATATTTTCTTAATAATATAAAGAAAAAAATTATGGAAAAAAAAAATTAAAATCACCATCTACAGTAACTTCAACCAATACAACAAAAAAAGTAACTTTAATCTTACTTTTTCTTATTATTATGCGATTTAGCGCGCAAAATCAAAAAATATGTGTTTGTTGAAGTTACCAAACAGGTTCTTAAGCGGATAATTAAAAATGTTCAAAAAATGTACAATGTTTTCACATTTTACCTAATCCAGAATACGTCGTTAGAGTGTTTTCGTTTGGATTCAAACAGTCTTATTTAATTCGCATGTTAAGGTTTAGTCCAGTTTATTTAAAGATGTTTTCTTTTGGACTGTTTTAGTCCCAGACCAGACAAGATCAAACCAGACTTAAACAGATCAGACCAGACTTAAATAGACCAGATCAGACCAGATCAGACCAGACTTTGATATTTATAAAATACACAGAGACCAGACATTTACTAGACCAGACCACTTCAGACCAGATGAGACCAGAAAATTTGAGTTCAAAAGAAAACATGCCAAGTATTGTCTCTGTTCATAAGAAAATTTGAGTGTTTGCAATAGCTTAAAAAAAAGCACTTCTCAGCTTTTGGCTTAAAAAAGCACTTATTTATCAAACACTTCCAATTTTTACTTTTTCTCGGCTTGCGTGTGAAAACTGCTTTTACCTTTTCTATTACACAAAAAGCACTTATTTTACCAAACACTATCAACTTTTACTTTTAAAAATCACTTTTTTCTCAAACACCATCAACTTTTACTACTAATCACTTTTTCATTACATCTCCAAAAGTGCTTTTTTTAAGCAGAAGCAGTTGCAAACACTCCCTAAGTCGATCTGATTTCAACTGACCTAGTACGTTTATATCTGAAGTAGTCTAGATGGTTAAGTCTCAGTTCATCTAAAAAAGCTAAAGTGAACAAAATTAATCGAGCTACTTAACATAAAAGTACTCTGTATGTTATACCATCAATTAAAACTTTTAATAATGAAAGGCTCATGCGCATGATTTTAAATAATATCATAAGGGTTTTGGGTCGTTTTTAAATCACAAAGGGTTCAAGTGCATAACTTTAGGGATTAGGACACCAATATTACTAAAAATTAACTTATGAACAAAAAGTGACCTTTTTTTTAAAAAAATCCAAAAAATGCGACTAAAAAGGCTGAACAAACCATTTTGCCTTTACTAAGCCCGGCAGACCCGCTACACTGACCTAATTGCCAATGAATTATAGTGACCTATGTCACAGTGACTATATTTTTAATGACTGATGACACAATGACTATATACCCAATTACCAATGCCACAGTTACCAAAAGAGCAGTGACTATATACGAACATTGTCCAGTTACAAACATTGTCCTCACATGTCACAGTGACAACCCTACGATGCCACAATGACCAAATTTGAGTAGGCGGCCACCGTAGGTTAGTGACTGTCACCGCCAAACACGCACAGTGACCATCGATGCATAGTAACCGACCATCGCCAGTGACCACCATCGGCCCCGTCAGTGACTTGCCGTCGGTCAGTGACCACCGTCGTTCCGCCAGTGACCCATCGCCGGTCAGCGACTGACGTACACTTTGTCGTGTGTTGATATGCACTAATTAGTAGTGCATGAGTGTATGTTTTTATGTTTGATTTGTGTGGATTGTTTACCGTTTTATTTAGTTTGTAAACATTTGTGTGATTTTAGTTGTAATTGTATTTTAATCTTCATTTGTAAGTTGTAAAATAAAGTTAGGAATTAGGGTGTTGAAAAGGAGGACTTTGAAGTGAAGAAAAAGGTGATAAGTGTGCCCAGCAGCACAAACCCGGTCGGGTCAGACCATGCACCCGGTCGGGTCTGATGTAAAATCCGAAACTGCCTGGAGAATCATTAGACCCCGGTCGGGTCTCCTACTTGACCCGGTCGGGTCAGACTTGACCCGGGACACCAGAACGTGCCGAAGATCGCCAGAACGTGGAGGATATCTGATTTTGACCGGACCCGGTCGGGTAAGCACCTAACCCGGTCGGATACCCGGCCCAAGGTGTTGAAAAACACCTATAAATAACCCCATTTTCCTTCACAAAGGATAACTCCTTCTTCCATACTCTTAAGCTCAGTTTAGAATAGTATTTCTTTTATATTTTTATAGCATGTTTAGTCTCCAAATGAGGAGCTAAACTTCCATTTCTTGGTGTTGCTCTTGAAGCTTGTTGATTATTAAAGTTGTGAGTTATTTTCTTAACTTCTTTCCTTGAATATTAATTATTCTCTTAATCTATCTATATATTAATGTTGGGGAGTGTTGCTAAGATGACAATTAGTTAACATCTCGACATTAGTTATAGTAGTATTTATTTTCTTCCTCTATATATTAATGTTGGGGAGTGTTACTAAGATGACAATTAGATAACATCTTGACATTAGTTATAGTAGGATTATTCATATTTAATCTTCTTCCTTGAATATTAATTCTTCCCTTAATCTATCTCTATGTTAATGTTGGGGAGTGTTGCTAAGATGACAATTAGTTAACATCTCAACATTAATTACTACTAGAAACGTTCAACGAACCGATGGTTAATCGTTGATGGTTTCACAAGTAAGTAACTTCAGTTTATTAATGCACGGTCGTGGTTAATAAACTTAAGAGGGATTAATTTTGTTGGTTAAACCGAAACCGTTGTGTTGAGGTTATCAATCTCAATTGATTTCATCAAGGAGTTAAGAGATTAAATGCTACTATCAAGTCGGTATATGGCGGTGTTCTATACTTGACTAATAGTAAGGGTTATTAATGAACGGTCGTTGTTAATAACTACCCTCGATGAATTGGATATACTCCTCGATTGAGTATTCG